GAAGGTGGCAAATCACAATGCATCAAAACCGCGAAATTTACATTTAGGTAGACCTAAACCTTAACCTAGACCTTTTACCTTTTTATTATATTTTATAACCTTTTCAGAAAGCAAACAACACAACATCTAAACACGATATATCAGGTAGATTGTAGACCAGTAGGTACTCTCTAAATAATTCGTAGAACTAAAAAAAATTAATAGTTATACTTACTGAAAGTATAGTATTACTGAAATTATATCTGGCCTTAACTTTTTCCAACCAATTTCCGCCTCTTACGGTTGTTATAGATTAAGAAATGTATCTTATTTTGCCAAACAATGTTTCACCTAATGTATATTATAAAAATTATTCTGCTCTTCCGTAAGTGTACGAATTTGGCGAAGAATACCAAAACGAATTGATGAACTTGATCAGAAAATGATGAAAAGCAATTTATCTTTTGTAAAGTTTAAAACATTTTACACATTTATAAAAATTATGAACTCATTATAGCCTAATCAAAGCAAAATTAGAAATTGGTAAATGTTGCCAAATAATTATTCACGTTAAATAAACAATCTTATCAAGACGCCTTTCCTCTAACTCTACACATTAATTTTTGTACCTACTCTTTGATATCAACCTTGGTAGACTTCTAACAGCTGAAAGTTGCACATTTTCATCCACACAAACAAATTTTTTATAAGTGGGTATTGACAATTATTGAATTATTGAAACGAATGTTGTTTGCTCAATAGATACGTCAGGCGAATGTTGTTTTATGTTCAATGTTTATGTTCAATTTCATGTTTATTACATTACTGCGCTTGCTGGATAGCCCAAATTTGACGAAATGCCCCTGATGATGCTGTAGAAATCGAAAGTACTTGAGCAAGATCTGATTATTAAAATTGTGCTCGATATTTGCCTTTAATTTTTCGAACTTAATAAAGTTCATTTATTCGAGCATTCAACTAAGCGTCTATATTCTTTGATTCAACCTTACATCAAAGAATGTTGTTTTGTTAGGTTTTAGGTTAGATACTGCCAAGTGCTAAACACATATTATGCTGAATTTACAAAAGTGTGGTGTATTCTTTGATATTTTAAATTATAAATTAATTATAGGGGACACATTTTAGAATTTTTACAGTTGATAAGATTTCTAAAAGACTTTCCATAAATATTACAAAGTTTTCAAATAGTATCTAAAGTCAAGTGATTATGATTCGAGTATTTTACGAAAAGACTTTAATTTCAAGATATTGCAATTTACGAGCAATATTCTTAAATTACTTAAATGGCCTAATTATCAAATACTATTAAATTGCATAGAGGGTGTAAAGGAGCAGCAGAATAGTTTTGTTTTTAATGTATGCCGTTAAGCAGTGAAGATTACATTATTGTTGTTAATTGTTATATTATAATTGTTGTATACCAGTTAAAAAGTAATATAAGTTTTTTTTTCGTAATTACTTCTGTAGTTTTATTTAATTTTTTATTATTTTATCATTATCATCAGCATCTTAATCAATGGAGCTAAAACCTTTATGTGTCTTAGTCTGCTCTAATAGGTTCCTTTATTCCGAACTCTGGTGCGCTTTGTTATTCCAGTTGGTTATATTCAGAATTCTCAGGTCTACACGTTTCCATATATTTCTGGGTTTTTCTCTCAGCCTCTTTTGTGTAGAATGAATGAATACGTGTTTTTTACCTTGTTTAGGCTTTGTCGTCTCTTCAAGATGGGATTTGTTATTGGGTAAACGCCAATTTGCATATTGTCGCTCTCCGGAACTAAGGGTGGCTGTGAAGCAGTAGTGTCTGGATGATTTCCTGTCTTTGGGTGCCATGGGTCAAGCCCGCTACTAAGTACAAGTTCCATTGGGAAAAACGGTCCTTTTTAGATTGTTGGCCTTTTGTTTTGTTCAGTTTAAAGGTGTGAAGGATATCTGTGGATGTGTCCTCACCCAGGATCAAGTATCGTTGTTCAATGAGATTGGGAAACCACACAAAACCAATCTCCCTCTGTCCTTGTAATTTTGAATGCGATTCTTAAGGAGTGTACCTACGAGGTTCTCACTGTTTAGTGTGTGTGGATTGTCCGGGTTTGTGTAGGTAGTTATTGGTTGCGTGGTGTTGGCTTGTTTCTTTTTGGTGTTTGTATGTTTATGATTTGTGAGCTTGGCTAGAGGTAAAGTGTACCTATGTATGAATAATTAATGTGTGTGTTGTATTGTGTGTTTATATGCGGAGTTAAGTGAAGGTTTCTTCTTCTTCTTCTTACGGTGCCTATCCGTTCCGGATGTTGGCGATCAACATGGCTATCCTAACTTTGCTTGCTGCTATTCTGAATAGTCCGGTTGTCGATGTATGAAACCACTTTCTCAGGTTTTGAAACCAAGATATTCTTCTTCTCCCTGGTCCTCTCTTTCCAAATACCTTGCCCTGAAGAATGAGTTGCAACAAGCCGTATCTCTGTTCATTCCTCATAACATGGCCAAGATATTCTAGTTTGCGCTCTTTGATGGTGTTAATAATCTCGCATTCCTTGTCTATTCTACGTAGGACCTCAACATTAGTCACACGATCCCCCATGAAAGTGAAGGTTTGGTTTATGGAATTGTAGCAAGATGTTGATATCTTCTTCTTCTTTGGGTGCCGTCTTCAATGAAGGTTGGCGATAACCTCAGCAAAATCATTTCTGTCCCTGGCTTTTCTTATTAAAGATTGAGAATCCAAACCAGTCCACTCACGAATGTTCTTCAACCAGGACGCCTGCCGTCTACCAGGACCACGTCTTCCTTCTACCTTCCCCTCTATAAGAAGCTGCAGTAGCTGCAAGATGTTGATATGGCATACCCATACAATGCGATGGACATTTGATTTAAATAGCGGATTGTGTCACTCCTCTTTTAAGGGAAGACATTGAAGAGGATCATAGATGTGAAGTGGATTAGATATTTTATGCCCGAGGATAGGTCGTATGAGGGGATTTGCTTGGAAGTGTGTACGAATTGTGTTTGTTTTGCGTATTTTGGTTAGATTCTTTGGTGTGGGCATTTACATCCATTACAGTTGGGACATTTGGGAACACCTATCGTAAGGCATGCAGTAGACCTGTGTTGTTATCTGCAGTATGGTCAGATAATTGATTTTTCGGGGCATTAGTTGCTGAGGTATGCGCTTCGGCAGCATTTCGAACAGTATTTTAGTCGAACTGGAACCGAATTGCTTGATCTTGGAATCTGGCATTTCTATCGTTCTCCTTCGATCTTAATACCATTCGAGAGTGCATCCGGCGAATTTAGTTTCAGAGTTTGTAAAAACTCTAATGAAAGAGTTGTTTTGATTTTTACAGCGGACAATTATACGAACTATTTTGGTGAATGGGAATTTGTTTTCGGATAGATTATCCTCGATGATTTTTTGAAATATTTTTTAGTCGACGCCGGCAATGGCTAAATGAAAGTTTTGTTGGTGATTTAGAACGGGTTGCGGATTAGTTGGGCTTTTAGATTTGAAACCTAAATTTATGGAAATATCACTATCCGATTTCTCGAAGTTTTGCTGTGAGATCTTTGAGGTCTAGAAAAATGGTAGTTCGTACGGAAGCTGCTTTTTGGGTTGGGAAGACTTTTATTGAGTCTAAACAGGGGATTACATCGTAGTCTTTGATAAGTCGATAGAATGATCTTTGCTGATAGATGTCTGGGGGGATTCTGTAATTTTGGGTGGCGTGTGTTGGTTGTTTGTGGTTATGTAGATGTTATTTGTTGTAGCAAGGAATACTCCATCCCCCATTGGGATGGAGCATTCTGTGGTTGTAGTGTGGTGAGTGAGTGTATGGGTGATAGTGTTGGTTGAGTGTGTGTTGATGAGAGTGTGTTTTGTGTTTGTAGGGGTGTGTAGGTATGGAGTAGACGCTTTGGATGTAGACGGGATAAGAATGTATTGTTCTGTGTGCGTGTTTCTTTGTGTTTTCTTTGGTGTGGTGAGTATTTTTGGTGTTGTATTGTTTGTCTGTGTATTCTGTGGGTATGCACTTGAATATGGTTATGTGACTGTGATGGCTTGCAGATCCCCTTCCCATTCTCTTATGTTGTGAATAGGACCTGTTGTATAGAGGATGGCTTGGTTTTCGGATGGTTTCGTTTCTAGGTTGAAGGGAATGTCTCCGAGGATGTGGTTTTTGAGGGTGCAGTAAAATTTCTTTGGAATTAGTGTGATGAAATATTTGTTTGTGTGTTGTTTTTTTTTTGGTGTGATAAATGTTGGTGTGTCTTGAATGTGTGGTGAGCATATTTTGTGTATTATGTCTTTGACTCGTGTAGGGCTGTGTGGCAATTTTGTTTTTTGATCTTCTATATTTTGAATGATTGGTGTAATGTGTAATTGTTGGTCATCTCAGGATTTTTGAGACAGAGTTCTGTCAGAGACTGCCCCCTTTCCTATTCTGTCCTTGGTTTGTGTCCATCTCTAGTAAGCAGAGAATAAAAATTTTAGTTGCAGAGCGGGATGATCTCAAATGTATATAAGTTCAGTATACAAATTTTAAATAAATGTTACATTCTTTTAAGTAAGTAAAATTTTTCAAACAAGTTCTGGCATTTCTGTTTCCTAAACCTTTGTTAATGAATATTTTTTGATTTTTGTCAATACCTACTTTATTTAGTAGAGCTGGCTTTAAATGTAGACCTTTTTGTTAATGGCGACACAGTTTAGTGTATATTATTCAGACAAAAAATATATAAAAACAATTTTGTTGTGATTCTGTCCCACTTTTTCAGTAATCATCTTTCATATTTTTTGTAATTTTACATTCATTTATGGTATTGGTATGCATGGGCGGTGGTAAGAGAATGTATGACTTATTCTTATGACTCATTTTATTCCCACTTCCATTTTTATTAAGTGCATAATTTTTTTATGCACTCAGACAGAAATGAATTAAAAATATCAACACAAACAGCAAAATGTAACAGAAATACCAATACCTAAAAAATTAAAAGAAATAACACTTGATTAAAAAAATTTTAATAACAATAATTGTATTAATAGTTATAAAGATAAAATGTATCATTTGGGAGCTCCATATGCATCTGGCATTCTTTCAATTGTATATTTATGTTGAGAAACATACATTATTGGCACTCCCGGTATTTTCCTAATTCTTCTCTTAAGGTCTTTATCATTAGTGGCAACTATATAACATTTATGTTGAGTAACTCTTTGCACAAGACAATCATCAGCATAAGTTCCTTTGTGCATGCAATGTATTCTTTCAAAACGAGGATCTTTAATTATACGAAGAGCTACTCTATACTTTTGACCCAATTTTTCCAATTCTGCGAGCACACAGTCTGTAATATATGGTATACATTTTGCATATAAGCAGTCCATCATATTCTGTATAATATCTAATTTGTTTTTTATTGAAAAGTTAATGAAATTTGTATCAACAAGGATGTGATATGGGGGACCTAACTGTGTATTGTATTGGAAAAACAGTGCTGAACTAATTTGAGGTGCTTCATTTACTTTTATTTCATATGGATCCTCGGGTTTCTTTTTCTTTGAAGCTTGTCTTAAGGATTCTTTGATTCTGGGATCGCTTAAACTAATCATTTTCTTCATCTTGGCAAAGCGCCTTTCTGCAATCTTTCTAGTTTTCTTTGTTTTACCCTAAAACGAGAAAACCATGTATAACAAATTTAAGAGAAAAAAGTTTATTAAAATAACTTACCATTTTTCACAACTCAAAACACGATTGATTAAGGTTAAACTCTTTTTATTCATCATCTAGCTTCACACATATATGTGATATATGTGTCATAGAACTCATAGATCAGTATATTGTGACAGAAATTTGCCGTTATTTTAGCCGTTCCACAGAATGCAGGTTAATCACAGGTTAATTAAAATAAGACAGATACGAAATAACAACATTTGGCAAATCCACAGAATAAATAACAATCGTGTATTACATGCAATGACGTATAATATATAGACTCGGTGAACGCTTTAAAAAGTGTCCAAAACATGAATACCTTTGTTATTGTTTATTGTTTTGATACGAAGATACACGAAGTTCATGATTTCTTACGAAGCATCACGAAGTTGATCTTGTGTTTGAAAACATCATGGACGTATGAAAACATTTTCTCCATTTTGTGTGACAAGCAAATTTTATTTTAAATTGTTGAGAGTTATTTACTTACTATTTTAGTAAAATGCCATACTATTTTATCAAAATAATTATTTCTCTTATAGATGGGAACAAAAAGAAATCATAAATATTAAATTTTAATTAAAAAAATAATTATTGTCATTAACATATAAATGAGCACGCCGCTGTTGTGATAAACATACCTTCAACCTTGAGCCGAGATCTTTCGGACACTCGATTCTATAGGGAGAATAGGGGACTGCGTAGTCTATATATTATACGTCATTGATTACATGATACTATGACTATAAGATAAGATATTGCGCATGTTTTTGTGACGTCATTGGAGACTTGCGCGTTCGAAATGTCAGTTTTTGTATATATCAATAAATAATCTTTAATAAATAGTTTGGAGATATCCTTATGTGTACGATTATTGTATTTATTAAACCTCTTAACTTATTTTCGTCTAGTAATTTCATCACAGAATGCATACAAATCTCATTTAACTTTAACAAGAATTCAAATTCTAGTCTCCAATGACGGCATGCGCGAACCCGACCGATTTTGAGTTACGGGAAGATCCTATCTTGTTATTCATAGTATCATGGTGTATTATTCTGTGGCAAATCTATGTATCCTTCTTATCTGTTCTTATAATTTAATGTTTTTTATTCATTTATTTGGTTGTAAATATATCCAAATGATAAAAGTGCGCTGTCTGTGGGTCGCATATTATAACTAGGATTATGTTTTAAAAGATAAATTCAACTTTGTATAGTCTTAACTGGAGAAATCTGCATAGACATCATAGATCATCATTTTTTTAGGCAGATACCTGGTTGTGCATTGCCTCGAGCAATACACGCAAACCCTGAAAGAAGCCCAAAAAACCAAAGAAGAAGAAAAATAAACTTTATCTGTTTTAGGTTAGCAATAATGAAAATTTGTCAAAATTATGAAAATAGATAAAGTTTGTTTTTACTAAACAAAGTTATATTTTATTTTATATTTAGGAATTCAAAAATAATAAGTAAATAATGTCAGATCAAGAAAAGGGTCCGGATATTGTTTCTGATCATGATAAAGAAGTTGCACAAAATGCTTTAGCAGAATTTAAAAAGTAATTATTGTAGATATACTATAACAAAATACAATACTAAGTAATTCATAAACGTATTTTTCAGAAAAAACTACTCTGCGTGCTTTCAACTTATAAATAAATTAGAAGATAGAAGCGGAGATTTAAAAGTAGTTCAAAATAGAGCTATAGTAGAATTTTTGAAAAATGATTTGAAGAAAACTGAAACAGTACAGAAAAATTTGACACAAATATGTAATCAAGTAAGGAATTTGATCAAATGGTCTATTCAGGGTTTCAACTATTGATAAGCAATTAAAATGCAGCAAATATATGAACTTTAAATCACTGTTACCTATGTTTCGGTTCTATAAGTTAGTTCAATCTGACTATGTTCAATTAGATCTGTCTTCAATTTTTTCAAATATGTTTAATTAATTTTTCATGAAGTTCAAATATGAAAATATTCATACTTATAAATTACGCATTTATGCTTAATTATGCATTTTTCTATATGAAGGTAAACTATAATATTTTCTTTAATTTGTATTTGGACCACACCTTTCATTGCATGTGCATCATCATGTTTTTGTGCTACCTTCATTTTTAGAACTGTCTTACCATTCATTGTTTTACTATCTTTCTGTAAAAGAAATAATATAATTTTTGTTTAAGTTTTAACTTCCATTGCCATATTACAGTTTAAAAAACAACCAAAATATTTTATGCTATCTTCATGGAAATATCTAAATCTTAAAATCATTTGGCACTAATTTGAGTTGTCAGTCTAAAAACTCTTCTCTACTATCTGATATCATTACATCTATGTAAAATATCATTTTGTATAAATCTGGAAGAACTTTTAAGTACTAGGACATTGTGTAAATTATTTTTAAAGTTATCATCTAACTTGGCTGTGAAATCAAATACAGTGGAACCTCAATTATTATCCGTCAGGGCACCAGACCAAGGGTATGACAGATAATCCAAAAGACGGTTAGAAAAGACGAACAGAACATTAAAAAAAACTCATAGTATAACTCTCAAATTTTATTTGTATGTTTTATTTGTCAATATAAGAGGGATTTATGTTAGTACAGCTGAATCAATTTAATTTAAATTATTCCGAAATCTTTGTTTGTTTTATTGTTATTTCACATTTTGCAACAGCTGAATTTCGTAATTGATGTAAAATCATTAAATCTACCTTATTTGCTTCTTCTTTCCGAGAATACTACTTGATAAATTGTTATATGTGCGTTGCAGCTCCTCTCGCTTTTTTACGCAAATCTTTGTGAGTTGTAATAGCATCATCAACATCGCCACCATCAAAGTGGGCTTCTGAATCAGTTTCGTCCACATCTGTTGCCATTTCAATGATTTCATCGTCTGTCAGCAATCTATAGCTGTTTGCATCCTCATTACAAATTAACCATTCGTTTATTTCATCTTTAGGCAAAGAAAACAAAACAGTTGATTCAGCCATAACTTCATTTAAGGGGAGCATTTTCATCTTAAGTTTATTCAAGCCATAATTTATTCCAGGCTCTTTTCAGTGTTACTTCCGAAACATCAGGCAAAGAATATTACTCTTCCATAACTAGGTTTTTTATTAATTTTTTCCTGTATCTTCTTTTGAATGTGTTAATGACCGAATGATCATTAACACATTCATGACGGTTAACAGAGGTGACAGTTAATAGAGAGACAGATAATCGAGGTTCCACTGTAATTCAATTCAGTCTTATTGTGACCCCAAAGTACTAATGCAAAAACAATTTGAACCTTGGCCCAGCTTCAGTTGACACTGATTAATGACAGGACAATTTACTCACTATTATCACATGAAACTTACTAAGTTTCACTTGCTAAAACTGATGAAAATATAACTTTTATAATCCAACAATCTCTACTCGCATGACTCACTAGCAAAAGACTTGTCCAGACAAAAATAGTCACTTGTGTGGATATTGCTCAGGTATTTGTAATAAATTTAAGTGACTACCTAATTGCTACACACAGACTAAAACTACACATTTTTTATTCTAGTTATAGTGACAGTAAAGTATTAAAATGAAACAATTATATTATGGTTCATTATGTATAATGTTGTGCAGGTGAAAAGGGAAACATTGACTTCATTTTTTCATTTTGTCAATCAATTCCATTCTTTTAAAATTACAATTTTAAAGAATTAACATGCCAGCATGGATTCTGCCTTAGACCTGTGTTCCAAATAAGCTTTGCTATGCATCTTTACTAGAGCCTAGCCATTATCATCTTTATATGACATAATATTTGTTGTGTGACACTTTACATTGTACATTTTGTTTTTTAGTTTCAAATTAAAGCAGAAAAATTAGATTATATTGATTATTGTATAATTCTATACAACTTGACTGTTTTGTTATTTCATCAAAAACGATACACAGATGCCCAAAGAATAATGGACAAAGTATATAAATTTATTGAACCTATGGGTAAGTTAATTCTTTTACTACTTTTTTAAGTGATTTACTTCTTATAAATAGCATAATGTTTTCTTATTTGATACTTATATAATTTTTGTAGATGAATCTTTAGCAAAACAGGTCAGTCTCCTAGCAATTGAATTACAATTAAGTATCAGGAAACCTGATAAAGCATTAAAGTTAATAAGTTACTTAGAGAATAATCTAATATATGGTGGTAGTCTTCCGTTAAAAGGTTTGGATAAAAATGGAAAAGATCGCAAGGTAAGTCTTTTTTGTACTCTAAAAGTTTTACTAGATCTACAGTATGTTTAGACTTACCACTGAAAATAATCTGATATAAAATTCTAAAATTTGCACAACTGTTACTGATAAAATGTGTTATTAATGACATTTCTACACTTTTACAGTACAAACAATGACTAGAATTATTTTGACTTATATATGTCACGTTTTCAATCAAATTAAATTTATAGAACCAATCTGGTACTCAAAAACCAATAATAATAATCTGGTATAAGTGGGTCACATAATATAGTATACATTAAAGATAGTCAGGACTTAAAACATGTAAAATGTGGGTGTCTTTAATTGCACAATATATGTTAAAGAACCTGAAGTAATTTAGGCTCAGTTTCTGGTCTGCAACTTTGCAAACCAAATTCATGTAATCTTCGACGAACTGTAAATACACTTACATTATTACCTCGAACCTCTTGAAACTGATTTATTGTTTTGCACTTCCTACCACTTCCCGCTTTACATGTGTTTGTTCCAGTTCATATAGAAAATTCCACTATCCTTTACATGGTACAGTGATGAGTCTGTAGTACTCCAGCCACATATGTAAGTGTCTGTATAATGATGACAGTAACCAAAGCCACCTTGTCATATTACAAAATAACTCCAAAACAATCATTGTTAAAAAGTCCTAAATTGTGAGTAGCAAATTCATTTGGCTCTAAAAAATGGACCAAGGCATATTTTGACCTGAATCAAAAACACAATGCTTAGGAGACATGGTTGCAAGCGAAAAATAAGGTTTTGCGAAAATTCACAAACCGAATTATTCCACAGGATGTTTCAAAGTTTGGATAATAAAACCACGTTTTAATTAACTCCGTACAATAAGTCAAATATACAATTTTATTAAAAAACTGGTTATACCAAATTAAAATTTACAAATTTATATACAGTGTGCTAAAAAAATCATCAAAATAGGGCCAAAAATAAAAAAAATTGAAATACTTTGAATTTGACCAAAATTTTCTCTGTTGTGTCTTTTTGCATCTGAGTGTATATATGCTAATCTTTTTGCAGATAACATTGCCACCTCCAAAGCCTTTGTCTGAAGAATTTGAAAGAAAACTGTTGAAATATAAAATAAGATGTTATGTGATGAATCATTCGATGAAAACTGCTATAAAAGAAATCCCAGTTCTTCTTAAAGATAAATCGGTAAGTGCAGAGTTTTTAAATTTTTAATTTTTACTTTTCATCAGCATCACAATTCAGTTCAGTTACAAGGTCTGTATGAAAAATTATGTGCTTAATATAGTGAAAAGTAATAATATATGTTTTGTAATAATATTATTTACTATAACAATATTTTATTGATTACTATTTATAACTGGGAATAAGCCACAATTAAAGATAAAAATACGTTTATTGACGTTTCAATTTCCAATTCGGAAATCGTTCTCAAAGTACAAACAGTAAATTAAACAAATTTTGTTTTTTGTTACATAGTGAAAAAATTCTTCTAATAATTTAATTTTATCTGACTCATTTATATTGACAATTCAGACATACATTATGCATTTTAAAGTAGACGACTTTAAAATGATATTGCCAATATTGTTGAGTTGCGCTCCTGGGACGACTTTACTTATAAGATAGTTCATTCGATTACATGAAATCAACTTTAACTTGAGAATATCCGTCAGAAAAAATCATAGCATGTAATTCGTCTTTAAAAAGACAAACACATGACATGATGACAGTAAAATTCTTCTGTTAGTGATTCCATAGTAAATTATGAGGGAAAAACCAGAAAAAAAACCTTATACAAAATTAACAAAAGATCCAACAAAGCCTTTGGAAAACAAAATATATAGAACTTTATTCAAGTTTAAAGATGTTTTAACAAGTTATCAGAGAGGATTAAATACACCTCATTACAGTAAGACTCCTCATTTTTATGGAGTACCGAAAATTCATAAAACGAATATACCACTTAGACCCATTTGTAGTACCATGAATTCTCCTTGTAGTGAACTATCAAAATTTTTATTAAATATTTTAAAACCTTATACAAATAAAAATGACACATTCATAAAAAATACACAACATTTTTTAAATAAATTATCAAATATTGAATTTAATTCAAATAATACTTTGGTAAGTTTTGACATAAATAGTTTATTTACGAATGTGCCATTAAATAAGACTTTAAGTATAGTCAAGAGAAAATTAGAGAGTGATGATTCATTGGCAACTAGAACAAGACTAAACATATCGGCTATAATGGAGTTATTAACATTATGTACTGATAATACATATTTTCAACTAAATAATGAATTCTATAAACAAAATTTTGGTCTAGCAATGGGCTCTAGTTTATCTCCATTCTTAGCCGATATATTTATGGAAGATTTTGAAACAAATATCATTTCTAAACAAAATTTCAAACCCACAGTATGGTGGAGGTATGTAGATGATGTATTCTCAATATGGCCTCATGGATCAGAGTTGTTGGACACATTCCTAAATGATATAAACGATAAAGAAGAGACAATAACATTTACCATGGAAAAGGAATATAATAACACGCTACCTTTCCTGGATGTTTTAATCTCTAAGAACGATACTGGATATGAGACTCAGGTGTATAGAAAACCAACACACACCAATAGATATTTAAATTTCAAATCAAATCATAATATTAATGTAAAAAAGGGAATAATTAAATCCTTATACGATAGAGCCAAAATTACTTGCTCTAACGAAAATTCGTTCTTGGAGGAGAAACATTTGTTAACATCTGTTTTATTAAAAAGTGATTATCCTTTATCGTTTATCAATAAGGAATTTTCAACAATCGATCGAATAGAACAGAACAACTTAGAACGAGATCCTACAGCATACACAAGGAATAATATGAGGAAAATAACAATACCGTACATAAAAGGATTATCAGAAAAACTTAAAAGGATAGGAAATAAATTCAACATTTCAACAACATTCAAAACAACAAACACGTTGAGATCTATTTTGTCCAAAACCAAACCTAACAATGAACAAGAAAGGACAAAGAATTGCATTTATAAAATACCTTGTGAATGCGATCAGTTTTATTTAGGTGAATCATCAAGGCCAATAAATGTTAGAATAAGTGAACATCAATCTTATATTAAAAATAGAGAATTTGATAGATCTCAAATATGTAAACACGCATGGGATAATGAACATAGGGTTCAATGGAATAATTCAAATATAGTCCTAAAAGAAACGGATGGTAAAAAAAGAAAAATCAAAGAAGCGGCTCTAATTATGCTAAATGAGGCCAATTGTGTCGCAAATTCCTCGGCTGAATGTAGTAGGATCTGGTTACCAATATTGAAAGAGGAAGTTATTAATAAGAAAATACCAGTATTAACAAGTCAGTAACATATAGAGGATACATCATTTATGTTTTTTAAATAACGTAACATATAAAATCAGAATTTTGATGTTTGTTGAAGGTAAACTAAATTTACGAACAAATACTTACAATGTCGGGATAGTATTATGAGGTTTTTTTCCTGGTTTTTCCCTCATAATTTACTATGGAATCACTAACAGAAGAATTTTACTGTCATCATGTCATGTGTTTGTCTTTTTAAAGACGAATTACATGCTATGATTTTTTCTGATGGATATTCTCAAGTTAAAGTTGATTTCATGTAATCGAATGAACTATCTTATAAGTAAAGTCGTCCCAGGAGCGCAACTCAACAATATTGGCAATATCATTTTAAAGTCGTCTCCTTTAAAATGCATAATGTATGTCTGAATTGTCAATATAAATGAGTCAGATAAAATTAAATTATTAGAAGAATTTTTTCACTACGTAACAAAAAACAAAATTTGTTTAATTTACTGTTTGTATTTTGAGAACGATTTCCGAATTGGAAATTGAAACGTCAATAAACGTATTTTTATCTTTAATTGTGGCTTATTCCCAGTTATAAATAGTAATTAATTTACAATGCCACAAGAAAATAGCTTCAGAACAATAATATTTTATTGGTCTTGGAAATATTTTTTTTAGTTATTTGTTTGTTGATAACTGAACCAGGATAACATAATATGTAGCACTGCTGCCTATGATCTGTAACAAAATGAATATAAATAGTAAATTTATTCCAGAAAAAATACGAAATTGTAAATTGACAGATCATCCACAACTACCAGTATGTATTGAAAAATTCTTAGCCTACTAGAAAAAGCCTACTGGAAGCTATTCAACAAATTTTGAAAGTCAAAGTATTTTATTATTCAACCTGCTCTCCTAAAAAGTTTTATCTTCCGCTGCAAACTAAACCTTTTTAACTTTGTTCACCTCTTCATTGAAAGAGAATTTATGAATTTACTAAAAGTAATTTAAAAATAAAAAAATATCGTGACCCAATGGAAGCTTTTACTGACTTGACGTGGCAGCCAAAGTGTTAATATATGATTAAATATTATAGGAGTGAACTTACCATAAACATAAGGTTGTTATTAATCGCAAAAAAACCACCTGCATTAAATTCTGTTCTTTCGTTGATGGTCTGCAGCGCAAATATATCTATTTCCTTATCTAAATCATTATCATCATGTGTATCAATTTTATAAAGCAGTATCCCAGTTTGGTCAGCCTGTAAATATAATACGAAATGATTTATGTGTTGGTTAGTAGAAGACATAATATTATAGAACATTATAGAGCGTTTTTGAACTTTATCTAGCCTTTATAAATTAAAATATCAGTATAATATACTGTTACCTGGTACCTTAAACCGTTTGAGATTTACAGATGACATAGTTTTAATAGTTGATAATATCCAAGAACTAAATGAAATGTTATAACAATTAATGAAGTTTCCGGAGTGAAGGATAAAAATGAACTACAGTAAAATAAAAGTAATGAGGCCGGACCAGACAAATATAACAATACAAAACCATACCACAGGAAATGTTGAACATAATACAATTAGCATGGGCCTCTTTTGGTAAACTAGCATATATCTTGAAAAACACAACCATTCTTATAGACTTAGACATAAAAAAGTATAACACTTGCTTACTACCAGTTTATACCTATGGAATGGAGACAAAAAATAGAAACAATGCAATGGACAATGGAACGAAACATGCTTGGAATATCACCAAGAGATAAGATCAGAAACACCGAGATAAGATGTAGAACGAAGATCAGGGATATCGTGGAAGAAATAACAAAAATAAAATGGCGCTGGATTGGTCCACAGAGCCAGCTATGTTGTTAACACGTGGACACGGAGAATCTTAGAAATGGAACCAAGGAAGACTAGCATGGGAATACCTCAAAATAGATGATAGTAAATGATATAAAAACAGTGGCAGGCAAACAGTGGAATAGATTTGCGCAAGATAGAGAAAGTCGGAAGTAATTGGTAGAGACCTACCTTCAGGTTTCCAAGTGGATGGAAAATGGTTGACAGAGAGAGAGAGAGAGAGAGAGAGAGAGAGAGAGAGAGAGTTTTGCGATGTCAATTGGACAAACATTATGGAAAATTATTAGAGATCTATGTCCATCAGTGGACAAGCGAAGATGTTCCAGAAAGTGATGTGGTTATTCCTTTAACCATACCAAGGTATCAGCCAATATTCTTGCTACCGATTATCTCAAAACTGTTCGAAAAGTTCTTGCTCAAGAGGCTGAAACCTATTACTGAAGAAAACTCTCTGATCACCAATGAGGATTCCAAAATCGGCACTCTACAATTGATCGAGTCCTAGTCAGACATGATCGAAAGATCACTTGAAGAAAAAAAGATTTGCTCAGCATTATTTTTGGATGTAGCACAAGCCTTCGACAAGGTCTGGCACGAAGGATTGTAGCATAAGATAAAAATGGCCCTTCCTGTCCAATACCCAAAGATCTAAGTTTCATATTTGGCATAGAGATACTTCAGGATTAAGCAGGAAGGTGCTTATTCTTAACTAAGGAAAATTAGTGCAGGGCTACTACAGGGAAGGGTACTGGGACCCGTCCTGTATCTCCTGTACACTAAAGGCATGCTAGTTTCAGAGCAAAATGTTGTAGCTACGTTTGCTGATAATAAGGCAATTATGACTGTTGGTGACAATGTAATTGAATTGACAGATAAGTTACAGAATTCAATTGCCGAAGTGGACAAATAAATGACGTATTAAATGAAATGAACGAAAAT